AAACTTATTCACCTTATCTTTTTTTCCAAAATGAGATTACCCTCCACTTGACAAGTGTAACTTTCATTCCTTGAAAAAGAGGGAAAATTATAAAGGAAAAACAAATATATAATTGAAAATTTGGCCAATATTACCTCTTGTTGCCCACCAAAACTTATTCACCTTATCTTTTTTTCCAAAATGAGATTACCCTCCACTTGACAAGTGTAACTTTCATTCCTTGAAAAAGAGGGAAAATTATAAAGGAAAAACAAATATATAATTGAAAATTTGGCCAATATTACCTCTTGTTGCCCACCAGCTATGCGACTGTATTTCTTGTTGTGGCTATGCAGGTAACCACCAGTATCAACATGGTGGAGTCTTATCTTTTGATCTTGCTTCCATGTTTTTCCGCTACCCTCAAGCTCAAGCCTGATGGTAATGAAAAAGAACTAAATAAAATCTTCATTGATAAGCTACAAATTAAAAACCAGTTTTCATATATATGCAGGCCTCACCTCCAATAGTCTCCTGTATCTGACTGATTCTCACCTCCAAAACAGCTCACCTACAGATGGACGCAAATTAGCAATCAGACAGTAGCATGCATATGTGATTAAAAGCCCAAGTGTCAAAACATATGAAATATCATTCAGAAGTGGGAAACAATTCAAATAACATGAAGTCAACTAATACCCACGTGGACTATAAACAACTATCACTTGGAGTTGATTATAAACAACTATTACTTGTAATAAAAATATAAATTCCATACAGCCTATTATTCCATTGAGCTACAGAAAGTGTTGGGCACTTGACCCCGCACCACATCGCTTAGTTGTAATTTTTCCTTCATTTTTGCTTAAAACAACAGAAATTGGTTCTCACTTGTTCGATGTCCTACTCTACACCTCCACCTAGTTAAATAGCTCTATCTTATAGCTAACTAGATATAGTATAATAAGGGGTGGCAAAAGGAACAGATTGGGTCAATTTGGGTGAGGTGAATGTTCCATATAAGCTTTACCCACCCGGCCCATTTAGTTAAACGGGTCATGGTTAGCCGACAAGCATTTAAATGGGTACCCATCTGACCCGGAATTGACCCAGAGAGAACTTCATCCATGGACCATTCATTGATTCAAGAGCTAATAAAGGAGCAAACAACACTTGCAAGAAAGTGGCTGAAACTGGCAATAACCCTCAAATCTCTCATATTTCATAATAGTCCCCAAAGAACTTGCGACAACTAGGTCCTCACAACATATATATTGTTTGAAATTAATCCCCTCAGTAAGCACCTATTTGAATTAGAGAATATTCTTTTTAACATTTTAGGGTGGAATATTAGTTACGCATCTCAATTATGGTTAGCAAATTAGAGAATTTGGTAATCGATAGCTTAATTTTGCATATTATATGATTTAGAGGACCCAATAGTAATTTTAATGGTTTAAGATACTAATCTCAGAATATGAAAAATGTGGGACCTATATGGAACAATGGCCTTACAAGATTTCACAAAAGAGGCCAAATATTCCATGAACTACAGGTGTAAATAATCCCAAATCAACAACATAAAAGAAGAAAAAAACATCATTGAAATAATTAACCCACACCAAAACCAACGTTCTCAATGTCTCTGAAACAACAAAATTAAAGCAATAAAAATCCAGGATCTCTCTCTATATATATAATTTTCTTCTCCTTCCTCCTTATTTTCTCTCTCCTCTCCCTATTAATCTTGCTGCAGGCCATCATCCACGCCTCCTGAGATTTCTCTCTAGTCATAGGACTGAGCAACTCTTACCTATTCCCACTGATCTCAGCAAAACGAGATTAAAATGAAACCCTTCTCTAAATAAATGGGTCATACACGGGTAATAGGGTTGGACTTGATCAGTAATAAGGTATTCAGGTCAACCTGTGAACAACCCGTACCCGTTTAACTCAACCCATACCCTTTAATAATGGGTCAGGCCAGGTTAAAAAAGGACCTGCAGTATATTCTATTTAAAACTTTCGACATTCAATTATTAGTAGAATAGGAGATAATGTGCCAATTACCATCTTTATATATTAACACCGTTCCTGTTATTCTTTTTCAAATTAAACATATCAAAAACTGTACAATTATTTTCCACCAAAAAAAATGGTATCAATGTTGAGCATTTTCTAACCTAAGTTTTTCATGTTTAGCCCATACAATCATAGTGTGCTTTATCCACTACATAATTTTCTCCCTTTAATTTTATGAATTCATTTTCACCATATACTATACAAGTTGTTATCAACACGATAGTAAATAATAACCTATCATAAGCTAGTAACAAACGAGTCAGGTTTAGTTAACATGTGCATAAATACTAATGTCCTGAGTTTGATCAAATTTTAATATTTTTTGAAGGGTATGCAAGCAACTTTAATATTCTTTACAGGGATACAAGAACGTAAAAATTTTAGCTTGGTAAATGAGCAAAATTTTAACTTTTGGATAGTACATGTGTTAAAAATCCAATAAAGCATTTATAAATTGGTTTGTTACTGTTAATAAGTATGTGATTAAGATCCAAAAGGCAAGAAAACTGGCAAGCAAAAAATAGTGAGTAGGTTTTTCTTTCTCTCGATAGGTGAAGCACATCCTATCAAAATTACCTTGAAATAGACACACTTAGCTATAGCTAGCTTTTCCACTGGCTGTGACCTTTAAGAAATCATGTCAACTTATAAAGCAAACCATAATTGAAAAGTTATAACCTTCTATTTCAACAATTTGGGGGAAACAGCATTAATTGTTTCTCTGGTTGGTGTTCCCATCAGAGCGGTACTTGATTGAAGATTTTCTAATGACTAATTAGCAGGGGCACGTGCAATGCACGTGCCAAATTTAATTGGGAGTTTATGCAAAAGATGCTATATTTCATATATGCAAGAATTAGATTAACAAAGACTATATTTACAAAATTAAGTTTTATGTGCAACTTTTAAAGTAATGGTGAATATGTATGGAGATAATGGTTAATATTCCTAAAGTTATTTCAAATCTAGTCAGTGTCCAAATGCTTCAAAATTTTCAAATAACTACAGTTGTAATAGACTTAGGTTAAGATAAATTGTTATAAACCCCTCATCTATACCTTCTGTTCCACTTAATCCCCTAATTATTTATTAGCACTTAGCACTCTTCCCTTAGGAAGTAAGAGGGGATAAGTGCTGATAAATGAGCTGATTGAAGGTATAGATAAGGGAGTTCTGTGCAATTTACCCTTTAGGTTATTACTCTTTGCAATTTCTTCTTTTTGTGTAGTTTTTAAAATCATGCTATTTTGATTCGAATTATATCAAATCTTTGAAGATAAATTGTATATAACCCCATCAATAATCAATTCCTCTAATTACCAGCTTCCATGACTTTATTGATTGTAATACATGAGGAATCTTGTTCCACTAATGAGGTCTTATCACATGGATTTACTTGATCACCAAGTAAGATTCCATGAATTCTACAACTAATAGGATTGTGGCCAATGGATTGCTTGATTCGCTTAAGACAATTGGCATAAACATGTCCACCTACCTTAGGTAAAGATACCACATACCTTTACCTCCACTAAGCATCGTCAGTCTTGGTTGATGAATCCTATTCTCTAAAATCATCTTTTTATCTTTAATAACCCAAAGTTTTTGTAAACACTTTGATTCACCAAAAGTTATAAATATTTTAACTTTGATACAACAAAGATTCATATTTTTTACATTGATACCTTAAAGTTTACAAATTCCTAACTTTGATACTCTAACCCAACTACCAACTTCGAAGTATCAAAGTGTTAAAAGCAATTCTACGCATGTCGAAGTTAAAAAGTTTAAACTTCGTCGTACCAAAGTGTCAGAAAAATTATATGGAATTATTGTAGATTTGAAGGACTAATATGGAATTATTGTAGATTTTGGGTATCAAAGTTCAAAGAACTATGGGACTTTAAAGTGACATAAGGTGTAAGGTATCAAAGTGCAAGTAACCTTTTTTTTTAAGATAGATTTTGGGAGCGAAAACACAATTGATAAACATTTATCATTGAGGGATTAATGAGAAATTTCAAAGATTTAGGGGAGTAATATGGAGTTATTGTAGATTGAGGGACTAAAATGGAATTATTGTAGTCTTCATGTGCTGAACACGTGAAGCTGCCACATGAGTTGTAGTTTATATAAGGTGCCAAAAAATTGAGCAACGCCAAGGATCGAACCCCGGACGTCAAATAATGGATCGTGGGTATGCAACCACTTGGGCTACATTGCAAGTCAGTCAAATGAGTATGGTTTTAGATTTTGACATATTATTAAAGTATTACATGACAAAAGAAAAAGCAGACAGCTCTAGACTCTTTTTATGTAGAGAATGAAGTAGAACTCATGCACAAACTTGTTGAATACAAATTTCAGAAACCCTGAGCATACTACATTTTACGGCTTAAATTGAGGATTAAAATTTCAAATAACCTATACTCATCAACTTTATGAAATTCTTCAGCTCAATTACATGAGACGTCATGAATCAGATTTCCAAAATTCCATGATGTTCAAGCTCTCGATTCCAAAAGCAAACAGATTTGTGACAGTGAGCATTGACACACCACACCATTAAACAATATAGTAGGTCCTTCAAAGTACTTCTAAGAATGTGCAAATGCCACGACAACAAAAATGACAAAAGTATTTAGGGAAAAAATGTATAGGTTCAGTCATTTGTGTGAAAACCAGAAACAAACAATCAACATTATTAAACATTAACCAACATGTCTAATAAATGAGATAAAATAAAGATTTATAACTAATACTTACACAGCCATACCTGAAGATAAAAAGAAAAGTGGGGCAAGATAAAAAGAAAAGTGGGGCACAACTCACCTCCATGTTACCAGTTATTGGGGAAGCATGCAAGTGGCTATGTAGCCATTTCCGAGTCTTCATATGCTGCAGTCGAACAATAGTTCCAGTTTTAATGGTATCACCTTGTCTGGCAGATGTATCTGGCAGGGGCTTTACAATCTGCCAAAAAATATAATAATAAAAACAAATATAAGAACAAAAATTAATAGTAGTCACTTTTGCCTTGATTTTTATGAAGATTATGCCCAATTTAGAGATCTAGGATGGAATCATAGTGAAACTATACAAGTTTTTGAGTTATCTGTGGAAATATCACAAGCTAAATGAAAGTTTAGTAAATAAAACTGTGTTCCTCAGGGAAAGCTGCTTCATGATTAAAAGCTTGCACCGAAAGCACAAATGTAAGTAAATATAAACAACCAAATGACCTAAAGGACCCAAAGGAATGAAGCACTTACACAAGTTCTCTAAGTACAATGCAGAAGCCAAATATAAACGGGAAAAAAAATATGATACTAACTTTAATTCCATCAAGAGACTATAGATGTTCATCATCATTGCATCAAATCTACAGAAGCTCACTAGAATGGACTGCATGATATAACCCTCTGGAAGTCAAGAATCGCTATATAACATGGAGGGAAAAAAAGAGAATTCACAGGGTAGGCCTGCATTAACCCGTCTAATGCTTGAAAAAATGCTAACAATCAGAGAAATGCCAGCAATCAGACTAGTGAAATACCAAAGATCATGTAATGAAAGGAAATGATAACAGCCAAAATGTCATATTACAGAGTTGAATAGTCGAGTAATTCAGATTCATGAATATCCAAAAAACCTGGCTGGAAAATGGACTGGTTGACTGCCTAATTGCAGTTTGCTTGTTTTGCAGTCTTCAGTTTTCATGGACTGGACAATCTAATTGTTGGGGGACAAGTATTCTTTTCTACTAGCTTCCGATTTGATTATAGATTTAATGCAAAAACTTTAGATCAAGGAAAATGTTTAAATATATATGGATTGAGTGTGCAGAGTTCAGTTTTCATAGACACGGCACGACGAATATTCATTTCTACTAATAGTTGACCCGATTACTCAATTCACTGTAAATGGGTTTAGATTAAAGCTAAACAGCCGGTCATGAACAGGGAAACCTCCCTGATCCATTAATCGTCGCTCGAGAGTATAAACTACTCGAGTTTACCTGTTTATGGCCCGCTTAGACAGGGATCATATAAAACCTTTCCCAGTAACTCTATTTGCCTCAGACCTAATCATTTCTCTCCAAATCACACAATGGATAACCCACAACACTTCAGCACCATAGAACCCTCAATGCTCCTCGACGTAATCTATTACTTGTTGGTGCTTGTTGTTGCTTGGAGAAAGAGGCCCAGGTGGAGCCTGATCTTCAAATCATGGTTGCAGAATTTATGGACCGTTGATGATCATGCTCAAAGATGATTCTCAATATCTCAAGGAAAGAACAGTGCCAAGCCGCTTGTTCCTTTTTAAGTGTAAGTTCCCCTCTCAAGGACAGCCTGATCTTCGAGTCGTGATTGCAGAATTTATAGACCATTGATGATCATTCTCAAGGATGATTCTCAATATCTCAAGGACAGTCTCAAGCAGCTCGTTCCTTTTTTAAGTGTAAGTTCCCCTCTAGAAGTAGATAGGTCCCTTTGTCAATCTTCATCTCGAACTTCTTATAGATATAGTTATATCTTGATCATTGGATCTGTCGACTAAGTAAATTTCAAGTCCCTGGCCGCTAGAAAGGTATAATTATTTTATTATTTAAGTCTTGGAACTTGGAAGCAGATATGGTTTGCATTTGGGAGCATCAGTTCAGATTTTTGGCTTTTCTACTACAATTATTTGGTTCTTGTTGATGTTTTATGGAATGAAGTTATTTGAATTTCTTAATTTAGATGATAAATTTGAAGGCTAGGTGCATTTAGGTACTACTAGTTGTTTGAATTTATTTAATACAAACTTTCTACTTTGACTTAACTTTGGGTCTACTTGCAAGTTAGAGCGAGTAATTTGGGGTTTCTCTGCTGTGAATTTTCCACTGGCTGCTAACTTTCTGCATGCTTTGATGTGATGGGTTCTTACATCCATATAAATTGTATTTTGTGCAGATAAACCTACAATCCATTCTAAGAGTAGCCTTAAGGATATCCTAAGCCTTGACATAAGTCACCTGATGATGGTCAAAGTGCAAAATCAGAGTCTAGTGCTGAAGACAAATGTTAAGTCTTAAAAAAGGAGTAAAACAATAACATTGCTGGTGTGGGCTCCTGTGAAATGCTTAAACAAGTTACAAATTTAAGCAATGTGCAACTTTAAAGAATATGCAGTTAAAGATATTGCTGAAAGCCACCATGGCACTAAAAACATGCAAAGGCATATGAAACTTGTTGAATGTACACTCATTATGATATGGGTCAACTGAATTTTATCTCAATCTATGGATCCATAGTGTTGATAATGCTGAAAGCAACCATGGCACTAAAAACATGCAAAGGCATATAGAAACTTGTTGAATGTACACTCATTACGATAAGGGTCAACTGAATTTTATCTCAATATATGGATCCATAGGCTCGATACATCAAAACTTGATCTGGATAAGTATGCAGTGTTGATAATTATGTCAACATCACGCATCATCATCATTCAACTTTATTTGGTATGAAAGCACCATTGGAGAAAGCTTGATTCACACACCTAGGATGTCACAAAACTTACGTGTGTATTTGATTAGTTATGTCACAAAAAATATTTCATTAACACACCGAGGATATCACAAAAATAAAAGTAAAATTCTTTCAGTTTGGTGTCATGTGCGATCGTCCTTAAATTATTAACTATGAAAGCACCAATGCATGTTCTGTACAGTTTTTAAATATTCCCGATATATGTCGGATCATATATCCATTTATAAGGCTTGCCACATAACAATAAGGTCTCAATATCCTTTACCATTTTTTGGCAATTTTTTGGGTGATAATATTGCAGACATGACCAATAAATCAGTTGATGTATTGGCCAATATGTCCTTTTATGTGGCTTGTTGCAAAACAATATAGTTCTGCAAAATTTCTTTAATATTTTAAGCAAAAACCCAGCCAAGTGAAGTTTTTCAACAACTTCTAGTAGGCTCTCTTTCTAAATAACTTTCTACAATTGGCTAGTGCTCCTAAACATATGTTATTTACATTTTTGTATGCTTATATTTCACTAAGTATGTTTAGATTATATTTTAGAACAATTTATTATATATATGACGCTCTGATATTTACTACATGTATCCCAATATTTCCCTGATATCCGTAATTCGATATGGATTTTAGCCGTCTAATATTTTCCCAATATTTGATATTTAAAACCTCGGTAATCTGGATTAACCCACCAAAAAAACTTACCATTAAAGAGGCTCCTACAACTCAAAGGTCCAACATTATCGTTACTAGTTCATAAAGGCCATATAATTTAAACTGATTGATGAGCTCCCAACACTATTGCTCTTGGAGTATAATGTGAAGGTTTGATCACAAAGTGAAACATCAACAAGGTATATGATAATTTTTGCGTATTGGACATCAGCGCTGAAATAAGACTTCCTCTGCAATTAAATGCCCATGCTTTGGATAATGTTATTGATAAAACTCATGTAACTTGTAGTATAGTTTGGGTTGTAGATGGCTGCATTGTGTTTGAACTTTGAACATACGATGGTTGTGATGTAAGCTTACAGTTGGGCGGATTGTGTCGATGTGACCTTAGATAATTTTAAAACTTGAACTTTAAAAGCACCAAGCACTATAAAATGACGGTGATCTAGATGGTCACCAGTCAAACTCTGAAATTTCCATGTAGTCAAAGTTTGAATGAATTAGCTGCTTATGATGCTATTACAACACTAAACGTGTCTAATCATCAATCTTAATGGTGATTGAAACCCTTGTGCCTGAAAATTTGATATTTGATTGCTCATTCCTTACAAGTTCAAGTACACAAATTGTTCTGGTTATTATAACTCAACACCATAAATTTGACATCAATACTAAAAGAAAGAACAGAAAATTATTTCTACGTCTAATTAGTTTCAGGGTCTATAATTAAAATTATAGTTAAAAAGTTAAAACTTTCACAAGCAAAAACTCACAACACAAACTTCTCAAATGAAACCATCACACAGAAATAACAAAAATAGAAAACCGAAAACTCACCCAATAACTATTGGCATCATCAACATCTGGGAACCCTGTAACCGACTGCTGTCCACTGCCCGATCCATATGGCACATCATGAGAGTGCAACCGAAACTTAGTCTTCTCGTGCATCAGCTTGATCAAACTCCCATAAGTTACCTACAACCCCCACACACAAACCAAAAAAAAGAGTCAAAAACCAAAACCCTAACCCTAATTACACGCAGATCTCAAGATCTAAAGCATCAGATCACAAACCTCGACGCCGCCACCGCCGGAGGAGGAAGCGGAGGATGAGGAAAAGGCGGCGGAGGCCGGAGATATCTCGCCGGCGTCTAGGCTAAGGAAGAGGAAGAGAGCTATGGCGAAGAGAGAGAACGCCATTAACAAAAGTAGAACTAGGAACCAAGTTTGCTGCCAAAAGGGGAAATTATCAGGAGTTGATTTAGGGTTTCGCCTACGGGAGGAAGAAGAGGAAGAGGGCGAAGGAGAGGCGGAGGACGGGATCTTTCGACGGGAGAGTGTTTGTGGCCCAGATGGAGCCACGTCTCCCCTCGATCGGCTCTCCAGAGCGAAGAATAGGGGCGTGGTCACCTGCGGTGAGAACCCTCGATAAGACCACTTCGTTCTCTTCTTGTGGTGTTGACGACGATCGCTTCTCCGTCTTCGGATTTTTGAGTTATTAGTTTCGTTCTCGGAGTCTAATAAAGATCTCAGAAGGTCTGCCGCCACGTATTGTGATGGAGTTCGACAAATTAGGTAGTGCCACGTGGTAAAGTGCGACGCTGAAAATCTGACGTGGATGTAGAAAATATAAACCCTATAGGACTGTAACTCTGATGGAAGATAAAGTCTGCAAAAAAAAAAAAATCATAATTTAAAAAATTTTAATTTTAATTTTAGGATTTGCGACTAAATTGATTAGAAGTAGTATCTTTCAATAGGTTATGTATTTTTTGTAATTGTATCTAAAACTAGGTTAAAAAATCTAATTTATTCTATCTAATATCAAATCTAATCAAATCACTCCTTTATATATAAAAAGAGAAATTGGTCCTAAACAAGCAAGAATTTGACATATGTCATACCAAAAAATTGACAAATGGACACATCTTATTCTATCATAAGGTGGCATGTGGATATATAATCTTATATTCACCTAAGAATTCTAATCAAATTAAATTTATCCATAATCAGCATATTCTAATTATAATCAAATATTTAGCAATCTTAATCAAATCATAACTATTCATAATTAAAAAAATAATAATAATCTTACTTTTTAATTCTCTTTTCTTTTCAATATAAAAGAGAGATTAATAGTTAAATATTAGCATTGCATCTCACAAAATTGCCACGTCTCTAATTTTTCAAAGGCTAAATTTTACCAAACATTCAAGATGTTTGGGTGTTTTAGTACTAAACTGATCATTATATTTTATTGCACTTTTATGCCCTTATCATCTATCTTATTTTGAGTAAAATATATGTTAATGAGTGTTTTTATCTAAATTTATATGAAATAAAGGATTAAGGAATAAGAGCTCATAAGAACTCAAAACTCTCCTTTTTTTTAACATTTATTGAAGCCCAAGATCAAGACAAACGAAGCCTATGGAGACCCATGCAAAAGAGCCAAAGAACTACAGTCAAAAGAAGGTTAATCAAAGAAGTATCAACATGAGTATCAATACCCAGTAAACATTTACAAACCAAAGGCTAAAATTGACTTGGAGGTTAAGTTTGATCTAAGAACTAATATTGATTGTAATACTCTATAAATAGGAGCAGAGAGTGAGGGTTTGACTGTCGAAAATTTTAATAAAAACTCTATTTGTAGAGGATGGTTACCCTTAATTGAGAGGATATACTAAAATTATAAACTTTATTTTCAATTAATAAGAAAAATTTCCCACCTTTTACATTTTCTTTTCTTATTCTTTGTTGATGAAGATGAAGATGTAGATGAAGATTTACTTTCAAGGGGCCAACCCCTCACAATGTACGTCTTTATTTTTCTCTTTTATTTTCTTACTTTGGAACTTCATATTTTAGAATTTTATTTTTTTTTTCTTTTTATATTGGTAGATTAAATTTGTTTTGATGCATTGTACTGTAGAATTACTTACATGCTCTTTTATTATTTTTTTCATGCATTGTACAATTTTTAATTTCTTGTATTTTTTTTGTAGTGCAGATTATATACATATATATACATATACATATATATGTAGATACATATGTATATACATAGAATAGATTATTTTTTTATATATATGTATATACATACATACATACATACATACATATATATATATATATATTATATACATATATATACATATACATATATATATACAAATATGTATATACATATGTATACATATATATATATGTACATACACATATATACATATACATATACATACATATATGTATATACATATACATACATATATGTATATACATATACATACATATATATGTATATACATATATATACATAGATATGTATATACATATATATATATACATAGAACCCTTAAATTTTTTTAATATTACATTATTGTTTTAAGCTATTCTAATTATCCTATCTTTTTTGAATAGGTAATTAAATGATTTATCCTATTCATAATGAGATTTAACATGTTATTGGATAAATGAGATACGTTTGATATAATTCAAATCCTTTGTTTATTTCAGTTCGCAGATATATCTAAAAAACATGTGTTATCTAACACCTAAAAGTTTTTAAACTTTGTAAAAAATATCCTAAGTTTTTAAATTGCAAAAACACCTCTACAAATTCAAAATTTTATTAAAACATTATAAAAATTATAAATTTTACTTATTTTAATTTAGTAATAAATCTGAAAAACATATGCTAGCTATCAAGTGAACATTTTTTGACTTTGGAGAAAATATCTTAGTTTTAAAAATTACAGAAACACCCCTAAAAATTCAAAATTTATAAATAACCCCTTGAATATTTCAAACATATAAACACACTAAAAACCAACAAATAACATAAAAAGCCCCAAATTTTATGGAATTTACAATAAACACACTAAACTTTTTATAAATTATAAAATAAAACCCTCAAAATTATAAAATTTATAAAAATCCTAATAATTTTTAACTTAACAGTACATTAAAAATATAGGAATTATAAATATCCCCTACATAATTTATAATTTAAGTAAACACCCTTAAAGTTTCAAAAATTACAAATAAACCCTCAAATTTTAAATTTTATAAAAAACACCCTGAGAATTTTAAACTCATTAGTAAATTAAAAACATAGGAATTATAAATAGTCTATAACAATTTACAATCTGTAGAAAAGGCGTATAAGTTTAAAAAATTATAAAAAAACCCTAAAATTCATAATTTACAAAAAACATTATGAGAATTTCTAACCTATAGACACTAAAATGAATATACAAAATTACTAACAACCCCTAGAAAATTAAACCTATAGACACTAAAATGAATATACAAAATTACTAACAACCCCTAGAAAATTAAAAATTTGTAAAAAATATCATACTCCCTTTAAAAGTATATACAAAATTACTAACAACCCCTAGAAAATTAAAAATTTGTAAAAAATATCATACTCCCTTTAAAAGTGTAGATTTAGGAAAAACTTTTCATGGTTAATATTATCCATAACTTTTTTGAAAAGAACATAACTAATTAAAAATCTATTGAGGTATGAAATTTATAAAATACACACCCTTAATTTTTAGTATATTACAAATTACCCGTCCAAAGTTTAAAATTTTCAGTAATTTTTTATAATTCCTTGATTTTAATGTAATATTTAATAGTTTTGTGTATTTGTAAAATAAAAAAATTTAGGGTGTTTTTTAAATTTTAAAACTTTTGAGGTTGTTTCTCTTGTAGTTTTCTAAATTTTTATTGCATTTTCAGTGTCATGCATAGATATGTCAATTAATGATGATATTGAAGTGCAAGTTATTCTTAAGATTATTATGTCATAGGTAAGTGCACACATCATTATTCCTAGGCAGTATAGTTTATATATGCAAAAAAATTTAGACAATCTATGTAGTGGTTAAAAGAATTTTGTCTTTAATGTACTATATTTATAAATTATAGTTAATGTGAACTCACCATATAATTTTGACTGTGGTCATTATAATTTTAATATGCTTGATTGATTGATTGTATAAGTATATAGACCATAGATTACTTTACTTTCTCAAATGAATTAATATTTAGCGCTTAGTAATTTAAATTATTACTTTTAAGTTTAATATAAAGAGGAGCTCTAATAACATTTATTTATTTACCTACAAGATAATAAAATCTCAGTTCCTATTTTTTGCTTGAGATTTATTCCATAGTTACACGTATCAAATTAGTAATTAAAATAATAACTATTTATGCTTAAATTAGGATGACTATAATTGGTCACTCATTATGGAATATTCATGAAGATATATACCTTACTTTCTATAGCTATATGCACAGTTCGGTCCCGTTTGGCAAAGGGTTAAGGAAGAGAGGTTAAAGAGAAGGATTAATGTACTTAGCCCATTCGATAATCTGAAGGACTAAATTATTAACCCGTTAAATAAGTTTTATTTTAGCCATTGTGATCAGTTTTAGTGTTTCGGAATAACAATAATTTTGACTATTTTTTTATAATTAGAAGGGTTAACTCTTAATCCTTCTAAATAGGAGTATTAGTAAACCCCTCATTTTGAGGGGTTAACTAATTTTAATCCCTCTACAGGTGTTAACTTAACCCTTCTATATGTTTTATGTTTAGCAAATTATAAAGGGTTAACTCACTTTAACTCTTGTATAGATTTTTTATGTTTGGCGGGTTAAGAAGGGGTTAAGTCACCTTAATCCCTCACTTAACCATTTTCTAAACGGTACCTTCATGTATATTTTATAAATTAGTTGATAATTTGACATTTTAATTACTTTTTCTTATAGAAATTTCTTCTTTGACTTTTGAATTGTGTAATCACTATATCATTATACTAGCGTAGAAAGGACTTCACTCTAAATGACATCAAGTTAATGTTTGAGTTGAACTGAAGTATATATACTATTACTACTATGTGTATATATTTTTTAAGTAAATCATGTCAACACTTTTTTAGCAGAAAAGAATATTCTAAATTCTGATATTATAAAAACTAAATATAGATAATTGAGTGATTAGCAAAAGAGAACTTACATCAGAAAAGCATGAATAATAAGATAAAGAGGAAAGGTAATGTCATTACCAATAGTATTACAATTAACAAATTATAATGTAAAGTTAACCTATTTTATGGAGTCCAACTACTAGCTATAAGCATTGAGTCTTCCATATATATACTATGGTATAATGTAATCTTATATAAATATTAAAATTGAATGAGCTATAAAATTGAATGAGAATATTAGATAATGTAAATATATATATATACACTATGGTATAATGTATTAGATAATGTAAAAAGGGTTATGATAATATTATATATTAGATAATGTAAACATTGATTGTTCCATATATATACTATGGAATAATCTTATATATACTTTTAATTTTACTTCTATAGCACGAAAAATGGTGCGGGAAATGAGCTATAAAATTGAATAAGAATATTAGAAAATGTAAATATGAGTAAAACCATAACTACAAGCTAATGTGAATA